TTTAATGAAACTGTTTCATGTATTTCTCTAAAATTAAAATAATGAAGACAATAATATCCATAATTAACACCCTCCATAATAAAAATGGATAATCAACCTCTCATAATTACAAAAAATGAACAAAATAAAAAATTATGATTGGTTGAATATGGTTTTCACGGTTTATACAAATTGGATGGTTTTCACGGTTTATACAAATTAGACGGTTTTCACGGTTTATACAAATTGGATGGTTTATATATATATATATATATATATATATATATATATGTTTTTATAAAGAATATGTTGCCTAAATATTATAATATTATTCATTACAAAACTCAAAATCGAAATAATTACAAAATACATTATTAATAAAAGGTTAAATAAATAAAATAGCAACTTACTTTCATAATTTTTCTTATTATAATATTCTATTTTTGTTTTTCTTTATTACAGTAATGTACTTTCAAATTATTTTTTTATTAAGACATTGTACTTTAAAAAATCTACACATAGTAGCAGTGACTAACCTGTTACTTTTTAAATCGGTTAATCTTTTGACTTTTTTTGCTTGTGTGACTTTAATGAGGTGACGTGGATGAAACATCATTTTGATGACTTAGCTAAAATAAAAATAAAAATCTATTTCAAAATTATTATTAATTTTCATTTTTCATTGTTATGATCTAAAAAAATATATTTTTTTTACTTTTTCTTATTAAGTTGCATGCAAATTAAATATTGTAGAGTAAAATATTTATTAAATAAATATGAAACATTATTTTCGAAATATATTTTGTTTGTAAAAAATGTAACACTTATTATTGTATGTTGTTCAAATAAATACATATCTTTTAAAGTTCACTTTAAAATGTTAACGAAATAAATTGTGATCTACAAATTTTTAATATTATTATATTAATAAATAATTCAAAAAAATCTAATTAATTTAATATATTTATACGTCAAATAAAAGTTTTTGAACAAATATAATATATCCTTTAAAAGATAATATTTTTTGGTAAAAAATGAACAATTCTAATTTTTCTTTTTCCAAAAAACACGTATTTAAAAAAAAATATTAGCGAGATAAGTTATGTTCTACTAGTTTTATTGATGTTGGTATATTAATAAATAATTTAGATTTTTTTAATTCATTTAATAAATCTATTAAATAACATGTAAAATATATAAATATTAAAATTAAAAATACAATGTTTAATAAGAACTTGTAGATGCTACAATAAAATAATTTTGAAACTACAATGATGTAATAAGAAAGTCACATCACTATAGTATACGTGGACAACCTATGTGGACAATGAGGTGACATGGAAACCTGGTATAATGGGTAAATTTAAATAAAAAAGGTTAACCAATGATATAATGGGTAAATTTTTCAAACTACAGTGTCATAATAAAAAATAGTTTGAAAGTACATTATTGTAATAAGAAAAACCGAAAATACAATGTTATAATAAAGAAATTTATGAAAATAAATTGCTATTTTGTGCATTTTGCCCTATTTGTTTTCGAATTTAAATTGAAAAAACATAGCCCAAAATAGAATATGGGCTAGCCATTGGGCCATCCATAAAGAACCCAACTATTTCCAACGCCCTCAAGCCCATATTTTGTGATACGATTTACAAATAGCTTTTTTAAAACAGGTTTATAAATAAGTTATTAAAATTTTATGTTGCTTTAATATATAGTCTTTAATCCAGTATAAATCATTAAAATCCACCATTCAAAATGAACTAATAATCATTTTTCACAGTGTTTTGATGTAAATTTCAAGTGTAAAAAGGTAGTCTCATAGATCTCATAAAAATAGTATAGTCTCACGTAAACCCAACCCTATAAGATGTATGGCAAATTGTTATACAGTTAGAAATTCAAAAAAAAATTAATATAAAAAATAAAGAAAAACGTGCACACGTAGATATAATATTATTTCAAGTTCATAAAAAGTTTTTATCAACAAGTTGTACTTCACATAACCAAAATAAACCAAAGGACTAGATGGAGCAGGTGCGGTTAAGAACCTCGGTTTCATTGTGAACCGGAAACCACTTAGAGGAACGCCACATGTCAATTCACGTCCATTATTCTTGATGAATATGGATATGTAACGCGCTCTTGGTGGTCTTCCGGTTCGACAATGGTAATATGATTCTCAACCGAACTTTCCACAATACTAGATAACCTAATATAATTACACAGCAATATCACAACGGATGTGCCTAAGAAGCACCGGAACCACAACATCCGGTGAACTCAACTGCGGCAGGTGGCCTTCCGTCGACATGACCTCAACGATGGACTCGCCGCCAAGGTTCTGATGAAGGTATTCAGAGACAACCACCGGAACCGCCAGATCCTTCATACTTTGGATGATGTGGCACGGGACCAACACGTGGCACAACAGTTCTCTCATGTCACTTTGGAAAATGGTTTGTGCAACGCTTAGGGCTATGTCGGGTCTCATATTAAAAAGGGTTCGACTAAATTCTTGAACCGATACAGAATCCATGTCACCTCCAATTGCCAATGGGGCAAAACCAGAACACCATGCCTTGAAATTCGACTGTATTGCTTCGAATAGTTGGTCAAGATCTTCTCTTTCAAATCCCCCAAAATAATCCACATCGTTCAAATACCTATAAAACAGTACAACTTTTATTTTATGACTTGTTTTCACAGCATCTTTAGTGGTCGGTTTTTATAAGTAAAAATTATAGTTCTTAAAAATTATCTATATTTTTTGGGTTTTGACTACGCGGACACGATTCGTTTGATTTTCAAAAAGAAGGAGCATAGAACCACAGGGACAAAACATGTAACTTACTCAAAAATTAATGATAAAAAAATACATACGACCCACAAAAGAGAATGTTTAGTAAGTCACTTTATTTCGTTTTTATGAGTTTAATATATCAAAAAGTAAGAATTTATAAGCCACTAGCATACCCTTATTACGTGTTTGACTTTTAATCAGATAAATCCACGGGTCTTTTAATTCATTGACATTATACATTTAAACTGGAAAATGTCGCTCTTCTATGAATAATTCACAAGTTATGATAACACAAATTAAAAGCTTCCATGCAGGTCAACTTCTATGGCCACAAAAATCGTCGGGATTCAATAAGGAAGATAATGAAAAATCTATTACCATCCTATGAGTCACAACCCAAACGGTTACGATTATATATATATATATATATATATATCGTAATAACTGTATTATTTTTCTTTTAACAACAAATAAATAAATTAAGTCGAGGATGAAAATCTAATTCTTTATAACAATGAAAATCTTTGAAATTAATTGTTTGGATGGATGAAATAATATTTTATGTAATATAATTAATATTATAATCTCTAAAAATAAGGTGATAAAGATGAACCTAATTTTTCTTAAAACTTCGAATTTTGATTCTCATTTTAAAAAACCCGTTTGTTGGAGATACTCTCAATAGTGTGGCTAAGGGGCCGTTTGTTAAATACTTACACAATAAGTGCTTACAGATAAAATTCAACATTATCATTTACTTATTGAGTAAGATTTTAGTCCACTAAAACGATATTGCATGCAATAATTTATCTAGTAAGCGTTTACCATGGTAAGAATCGTTGCCTTCACTTACCGGGTAAGACTTTTATTCTTTGTTTTGTTCTTACCCGAGTAAGTTTTTGGTATCTACCATATTAATCCAATAAAAAGGGTATTCTAACGCCACCCCCTCCTATTTTCCCCCCTATTCTTTCTATACCCCCACCTATATGAAATAATAAAATAATTAAAATTTATTTATTTTATTTTTCAATTTTAATCCTTTAATATTTTTAGTTTTAATCCTTCAACTTTTTAAATACTTTCCTATTATATCCTCCAGGTTTTTTATCTATATTATAATTACATATATTAATTAA